CAGTAATATCACAAACATGTAGAATTTCATCTTTTATTTCCTTCAAAGTATTTCTACAATTCGGTTTCCTTGTTCATTTTGATTTATTTTCAGTTTGGTGTTGGCATTTGACAGACATTTCAATTTTACAGATATAATCTGGTTCTGGTGTTGTTTTGATGACTCCTTTTCGATTCTTAACTTCGATTTCTTTGTCCCCTTGGAAAGACTTGACATCCTGAAACACAGAGAACAATATGTCATTGCAATCAGTTACTTACAACCTAACAGGTGAAAATAACTATTAGTTAAACAAAATATGAAACAAATCAAGCATCCATGCTTCCAGAAAAACATGCTTGTATAGTTATTGAAATATGATCCGAGTTAGTAATGGTGTCTTATTAATGCCCTATATGGGAAGTATAACAAATTATAAATACTGATATGCAACCTAAAGCCAGGGACACACTTAACGACTAACTGAATCATTCTAAGACTGAACTGAACACACATCTGATTTTAAATGCTGACTGTAAACACCAACTGAACGCAAATGGCTCTTACACATTTGGGTGTGATCACTTTTAAGTATCAAATTACATTCATAATCAGCCTTACAGTTGTGTAGTGTGTTCCTGGCTTAACTAATTAACTTAACTAATCTCAGCTGGCAAGATGGCTGGTTCACATGTACCTGGCTAACACGTGTACCTGACTAATTTGCTAACCTGGGGCCAGGCCACAGTGCAAATTGGTATTATAATATCATATTAGCATATGTGAATAGCAATTAAAGAAACCACTCACCATTTCTCCAGTGTAACAATTCCACAGTCAACAGTCCCTAACACAAATGTACATCACAATAGTGATGTTTGTCTTCTTCTTCATTGGAGTTTTACGGCAGTTGGCATCCATAGTGTTGCATTACTGCCATCTGCTGTCTCACTTTAACTTACTATATCTTAATTAAATTCGTCCTTCCAGTCCAGTCCTCCTTAGAAAATTAAACAAATATCTCCGTCCTTGGTCACTATTTCCATATGTTACTATATTTTTAACATTATACTCTACTATACCTATTTCCCGTAGCTGATTCTTGAATAGTGATGTTTGATTCTTCTTCTTCTGTTTTATGGTGGGTTGCACCAGCGTTAAGGTGCATTATCGTCACCTTCAGTGTTGGAGTGTGGACCAAAGTTTACCTATTTCATAAAAGAAACCCTTCATTCTCTCTATCAGTTCTGTACTTTTGAGATAAATAAATAAGCTCTCTAATCCATAAGTGATTATACTTTTTTTTTAAGCTTTATTCCTTCCACTCCCACCTTTCCAAGTTCCTTCTTGTTTCTTTTTCATTCAAATACTTTTGACAAACACATAGATGTTCCACTGACTCCTCTTGTGGCAAACATAGAAATCATGATTATAACTTTTTTTAAAAGTTACACCCCCCTTTAAAAAAAAAGTAGAGATGCATGTCAGGTTTTGTTTCATTATTGTTTTATTTACTGTTATTTTATGTACAACTATTCATTTATTTTGATTCAAGGGCATTGTGAAAGACACATAGCACTATCAGGCGCAAGTGGGGCAGCTAGAAAAAGTTTTGGGGTCCTGAACATTCTGCGGTGAGCAAGAAAGAGAGATGTGCCATGTTTGTGCTCCGTTTTGTCTTCACTTGTTTTGTTTATTAAAGATGAACCTGATCTTCATTTCATTACGCTTGTCTATAGTCTCGTATTTCAAGTGTGCAACACTGCTCACATAATCCTGTTGGATGTTTATTTATTCATTTTAAAGTTTTATTCAACATGTGACCAACGCTTAAACTTGATAAAATGTTGGTATCCTCACTACTCCTACTTATCGCTGTATTTTATAAAGATGACGTCCTGTGTTTCCCGTATCCCATTTTTGTTGCCACTCCTTAACGATATATGCTTTAATTATTGCTTTTGCTTCAAATTTGATGTTCGATTTCTGAACAAATTGTTCTTTGAGCCTGTTCATAGGAAGTAACCGAACTGAATTGAACTTTAGTTCCAGGCTGATGACGCAAGACGAACAGCCAGAGGTTGCTGACCCTTTAGTTCCAGGCTGATGACGCAAGACGCACAGCCAAAGTTTGATGACTGTCAAAGTGTTGAAAGTTTGCCGAGGATTACCGTTGATGCTCATAAAGGAGTTGACGATACTTTGCAAGCCTGAGGCACATACTGGAAATATGCTTATATAGCTTACTAATGTTATTAAATAAAATGTAATTAAAACCTGCAAAATCCTTTCTGTAGAGAGATGTAAATTAATA